AGCGGGAATATAGTCGCGCCTCGCGCTTCGCGGAGCGCGAGGCGCGAAGGTAGCTGCCGTATTTCCCCAGTCAGTGCTTGCACTGAAGGGGTCCTAGCGGAAGTGGAAAGATGTGGCGAAAATGCCCCGCCGAGTTTGGTGGCTGGCTGGGTTCTCGGGTTCCCGGTTCCGGGTTCTCGGGTTCTTGGTCATTGGTTCGGGGCCGATTTCGGTGGGTTCCGGGTTTCTGGGTTCCCGGTCGATCTCTTTATCGATCAAGCCATCCACTGATCTGGGTTTTCTCTGGTGTAGTTACCTAACAGCGAAGACTGATAGGTTTCTAGTGGTCTCAAAAGAGCTCACAGATCACTCCACAGGGGGGTCCGGGCAGGTGTTGGGGAGTTGCCGGGCGGCAGGGTGCCGGGCTCGTTTTTCACCAACAGTCACACACTTCGTGCTCTTCGACTTCCCAGAACTCCATTCCCAGGCCACATTCTGAATACCCGGATGCAACAGTCACACACAAAGTGCTCTTCGAGATCCAGAACGCCATTCCCGGGCCACATTTAGAATAACCGGATGCAACAGTCACACACTTCGTGCTCTTCGACATCCCAGAACGCCATTCCCGGGCTACATTTTGGATGCCCGGATGCAACAGTCACACACTTCGTGCTCTTCGAGTTCCCAGAACTCCATTCCCGGGCCACATTCTGGATGCCCGGAGCAAACTGTAGGCCACTTCCTGGTCTTCGAGTTCCCAGAACTCCATTCCCGGGCCACATTTTGAATGCCCAGAGCCAACTGTAGGCTCATCTTCGTGCTCTTAGAGTCCAAGAAATCCATTCACGGGCCAATTATGAAATGCCCCGTAGCCAACTGTAGGCAAAATCGTGCTCTTCGACTTCCACAGAACTCCCATATTCCTGGGCCACATTTTCAGCAGGGGCAAGAGCACGACGAGGAGGAGGACGAGCAAGACCAGGAGGACGAGGACGAGCAGGAGCAGGACGAGGAGCAGGAGGAGCAGGAGAAAAAGGACGAGCAGGAGGAGGAGGAGGACGAACAGGAGGAGGAGGACGACCAGGAGGAGGAGGACGACCAGGAAGAGGAGGAGGAGGAGGAGGAGGAGGAGGAGGAGGAGGGATGGGAGGGGGAGGAGTAGTACAGGAGGAGGAGGAGAGGAGGAGGAGGAGGAGGAAGAGAAGGTAGGAGGAGGAGGAGGAGGAGAGGACGAGGAGGAGGAGGAGGAGGGGGGGGGGGAGTATGCCAGGAGGAGGGAGACACGAAGGGACCACCAGGAGGAGGAGGAGGAGGAGGAGGAGGAGGAGGAGGAGAGAACACCAGGAGGAGGAGGAGGACGAGCAAGACGAGGAGGACGAGAACGAGGACGACCAGGAAGAGGAGGAGGAGGAGGAGGAGGGGAGGGGGAGGACTACCAGGAGGAGGAGGAGGAGGAGGAGGAGGAGGAGGAGGAAGAGGAGGAGGAGGACGAGGAGGAGGAGGAGGAGGACGAGGAGGAGGAGGTGGGGGGAGAGCACCAGGAGGAGGAGAACGAGGACCACCAGGAGGAGGAGGAGGAGGAGGAGGAGGAGGAGGAGGAGGAGGAGGAGAGAGCACCAGGAGGAGGAGGACGAGCAAAACGAGGAGGACGAGAACGAGGACGAGCAGGAGGAAGAGGAGGAGGAGGAGGAGGAGGAGGAGGAGGAGCAGGAGAAAGAGGAGGAGGAGGAGGCAGGCTGAGGCTGAGGCTGTGACTGCGACTGCCGTTGCCGCTGCGACTGTCATCGCGAATGCGACTACGACTGCGAGAACAGCAGAATTCGACAACTGGATTTTCATCTGATCATCTGAATCTTAAGGGGAATGCTTTCAGATATGCTTCTACACATCGCTGTTAGGTTGCTTTGCCGGGATAATTTTTGTTGACGAGTTACAGCTGGGCACCCTCCCCACCGCACGGGATCCTGCCACTCCACCCGCCACGACCGCGCGGCCGCGCAGCATTTCTATGAGGGGGGCGGCTCGCACGCGTCATCCCGCCACCACCGTCGCCGTCTGCCGCTGGCTGGCGTCATCCGGCTTCTCTCGCCATGGGGAAGCACGTCCTGCCATGGAAGCGGGTCCCGAGGTTTTTCGCCGATATGGCGGGTTCTTTGGGGCCCTGGACGGGCCCCGGGACTGTCAGGAAGAGGCTCAGGAGGAGTATCTCGTCCCGGAGCAAGGCCCGCTTCCCTCAGGACCCGTTTCCCTCAGGACCCGTTTCCCTCGGGACCCGCTTCTTTCAGGACCCGTTTCCCTCAGGACCCGTTTCCCTCCGGAGGGTCCAAGAGACCCGTTTCCTCATGACCCGTTTCCCCCATGTAGAGTTCTCGCCCAGAAAACCCTGATAGACGCAGTCTAAAGCTCGTAAAACACGTATGAGGGACGCTGGCGAGGACGCTAGATAGCATGGGGAGCTTGAAAGCTTAGAAAGATGTCGAGGGAGACGCTTGACAGGGCGCTGGGTGGGGCGCATGCTTGGAGAGCTTGCAAGCTTCTGACGTCGTCATCGCTGCGAACAGCCTCGTCAGTCATCGCCGCTATCGCCGCCAGTGCCTCCTGAATTTCCATCGCCAGCAACGCCCTCGCCTTCCGCCTTCTCTCTGCTCGTTACCAGGTTCGTCGTCGCCATCGTCGTTGCAGCGGTTTTCGCTGTCTTCGAGCATCTGGGACGACGACGACGACGAAGTCCGCGGTGATGTGACGATGGCGACGACGACCGCCACATCGGTCAGAACAGCACGGGTCGCCCGCCTTCCAATGTCTTTGCGTATCAGGCGAACGACCTAACGAGCATCGAAAACTAAAAAACCGTATGAGTTGGGAGAGCGGTGCCGTTGCCCCCCCCGGGCTCTGGGATCTTTCTAAGCACGGATGGTTTTGAGATATCTTTTGGAAGTACTCTCAGGGCCTTGGAGGAGGTATTGTTGTTTTCAGTCCCGCGCTCTGTCGTGTTAGTCTGACTCTGGCAAGCACCAGCGGTCAAGGGGCCTGGGGAGCAGGGCAACCTGGGCAACAGGGCAACCGACCGGCGGTCATAGGCCCAGGGGACCAGGACACATTGCCGACCCAGATTCCCGAGGGATGTGTTCGTCCGCGGGTCCCAGACGTCGCGACCCTTTTCTTGAGGTGACGGTTTGAACGTTCTCGTATCAACGCGAGCTCTGATGGCTTCCATTCGAAAGGCATGCGCGTGAACCAACATTCCAGGTGGCCCGGTCCAAGTGACACCGAGGAGGGCGGAAGTTGCCGCGGGACCCGAGAAGGGCCCCCCCAGAGGCCGAAACAGATGAAAGCGCCGGGAGTGGAACAGTCACTCCGCCCGACGTTTTCGGGGAGGTCCCCCGACGCTCTCCGAGAGTCCCCCCTGGCCTGCCGAGGCCCAGACGTGTCAGGAGGAGCAAGGATAGGCACAGACGCAAAGAGACGTCGATCCCCATGAACACGTAGGACAGCATGGCAAGTGGAAGGGAACTCGGAGATCCAGAAAATATGGGAAAGTATTTGGGAGTCATGAGGTCTGTGTCTATTTGTGTGTGCGTGTGCCACTGGGCCCTCTCAACCTGGCCCACAGGCTCGGCCCCTGCCGGCGGCAGGTACGACGACCACTACCACGCGCTCCCCGCGGGGGTGCCCTGCTCGCAGGTCCGGGGTGTTTTGTAAGTCGTGCAGCTCGCCTCCCAGACATCGGGCGTCTCGAAAAATCGAGACGGATGTCTCTCGTAGTTTTTGGCCTCTCGGGGCCCTCGCCAGGCCTCGGGACCGTCAAACAACGACTCGGGATGAGAAACCGGTCCAGGGAAAGTGGTCGGGAGGTCGGGGGCCCGTGTCTCGAAAAAAGTCGAGACGTCGGATGTGCGGGCTTGCCTCTTCCGAGTTTTCCATTCTACATTTTGCAATGCCTGCCCCAGGGCGCTGCGCGCTGCGGCATTCGCGCGCGCACGCGCTCTCCTTTTCGCTCTCTCTCTCTCTCTCTCTTTCTCTCATCTTGCCTGGTCTCTGCCTGAGGGCCTTCAGCGCGCGCCAGCCCCGTGGGTGAATTCCCGCAGGCTTTCAGCTTTCTGATGGCTGCGTGTGTGTGTGTGTGTGTGTGTGTGTGACCGCAGGCTTTCAGTTTTTTGATGGCTGTGTGTGTGTGTGTGTGACCGCAGGCTTTCAGTTTTTTGATGGCTGTGTGTGTGTCCTTGCTGGAGTGGGGAGGGGGGAGGCGGGGTTCCGCCGCTCCGAGTTTTGATGGCTGTGTGTGTGTGTGTCCTTGCTGGAGTGGGGAGGGGGGAGGCGGGGTTCCGCCGCTCCGAGTCAGCACGACGGAAAGGGGCCCCGCTCCGAGTCGGCACGACGGAACGGGGCCCCGAGGGAAAGGGGGCCCCTGCGGAGTGCTGCTCCCCGTTTGCGGCGCGTCGGGGCTCGCCCGGGGGCTGGAGCATCCAGAGGCCACCGGGGAGATGTCTCAAAAGAAAGACCTCGTCCCGGGGAGGGCCCAGGAGGCCAGGGCCCGCCCGCTTCTCGGGGGCGGAGAAGAAGAGGGGGGCGATGACTGGGGGGGGGGGGAATATCGTGGCGGGGGCCATGATATTTCCCCAGATTTCGTGGCGCCTCTTCTTCTTTCGTTGCGTCCCTGGCCCCCCGAGCTTCTCTCGGAGGCCCCCTCCCTCGCGGCAGCCCTTGGGCAGAGGGCCCCGGCAGGAGGCGCACGGGCCCTCGCCAGGCCACGGGGGCCCCGCGTGGACGGCGAGGCCGGCCGAGCTCCGTCGTCTTCGGGGCGCCCGGGGCCGGCCCTCGTCCGGAGGGCTCCAGAGGGGGTTTGGGGTCCTCCTCCTCCTCCTCCTCCTCCTCCTCCTCCTCCTCCTCCTCCTCCTCTCCTCCTCCCCTCCTCCTCCTCCTCCTCCTCCTCCTCCTCCTCCTCCTCCTCCTTCTCCTCCTCCTCCTCCTCCTCCGGGGGTTTTCCAGAGAGCCCCCATATGGGCCTCGGAGCCTCGTCAAAGCAGGGATTGCGAAGCCCCCGGGGGGCCCCTCCTGAAAAAGCCCCTTTCAAGAAGCCCCATTGGAACCCTCCGGCTCGTGAGGGGGGGCCGCACCGACTCCGTCTCGACGCGTGGGTTGGGTCGGCGTTGCGCAGACGTACTTGTGCTACTCGTGCGTCGCCCGCAGTTGGGTGCCGCGCGCGCTCAGGGCTCTTACAGCACACGCTCGGTGGCGGGCGGGTAGCGGTGTACTGTCACACTGCTGTGCTGCTGCATGGTCTGGTCGGGCGCGCGCGTCTTCGGTAGCAAAGCATGGGAGCCTTGTATGCCGTCGCAATTCCGTCTTCAGAGTGCACTAGCGTCGATTGGCCATGTGGTAATCGATGAGATAGCGCCGATGTGGCGTCGATGAGCGCCGATTGAGCGTCGGAATTCGCGTCGACGAGCGCCGGTTGGCAAGAGCCAACAAGATGGTAGGGCAGGCTCCCATGAGTTGCCACCAAGCGCCTCCAAAGAGGACACAAACATCCATCAGAAATCTGAGGAAAAGACCGAAACTGGCACGGACTCTAGATTCTAGATGCCGCGTAAGAAAATAGCCCAGAGGGGAAGTGAGAAGGGGCGGGCCTTCTCAGAAGGCTCAGAAAACCCTGGGCCTTCTGATAAGTCTCCCAAGCCTCCCATGAAGACGTACAAGCATCTGCTCAGAAGGCGCGAGGATTTTTGAGGAGTCCCGCCGCCTTGTGAGAAGGCCTTCTCCTTCTCATTTCCCACCCTCGTTCGCCGCCGAGGGGTGGCCAACGATGGACGCTGTCGGATGTCTCTGGAGCTCTCCAGAGGGGCATCCGGTGGGCCTAGAGAGGGCCGAAGAAGGTCTATGACAACCTGGATCCTGGATCCTCGGGGCGGCATTGGCACTGGGGAAGCAGGTTCCTGGCTGGTGCAACAGGGTCCTGGGACCCGGGACTTTCGCTGGGACCGGCTTTTCAGCCTTCGAGTAGGAGATCGACTAAAACATTCACTCACCCCATAATTGATTTTTTCGTTTAATCTTCTTCAGACGGGCATCCTGCATATTTGTTGTAGAGTCTACACTTCTGTAGTCGATCTCCTACTCGACGCCTGAGCTGTTTCGTGTTGCATTCCCGAGTCCCCTGCCGGGCCCCCGGAGGCCGAAAACGGCGGCGAGTTTCCTGGGCCCCTTCCCTCCAGGAGCCCTCCCCAGACCTCCGACGGACTGTGCTTTCAACCCACGATCAACAAAACAAACGACACCACTACACTTACGGCCCTCCATGTTGCGCTACGGCACATTGCGGGCCGTAGCGCATACCACGCAAAAGCCCACGCCAGTTCTTCTGGTATACGCTAAGCCCCGCGGGGCCGTAGGTGGGGTGGTGTCGTTTGTTTTGAGGTCCACTCCCCCGGGGGGCAGTGCTCGAGAAGGTGATCGACTACATAATCGATTTCCCCTGTATTGTTTCTCCTTCGAGCCTGTCAGAACTATGTAGGATGGTCGTGTATCGCCGGGCAGTGGAAGTCTGTTTCGCAGCTCTTCGGCGAGAACTCCAACTCTTGGGCACCTCAGCTCGAAGCGCTTCGCCCCCTCGAAGTGCTTCGCCCCCCTGGTAGTCGATGTCCCGCTCGAAGTGCCTCGCCCCCCTGGCAGTCGATGTCCCGCTCGAAGTGCCTCGCCCCCCCGCCGTCTTCGGGAGGGCCCCGCGGGGCCCGAGAGCGGCCCCTCGCCGACGTGGAGGAGCGACGCCCCGGCCTCGGCCTCGGCCTCCACCGCATTGACAAGCTCAAGACGGAGGTCTTTCTCGACTTTCGGCCTCTATATGGGGCTAGGGTTCAGGGTTTTGGGTCTACAAGCTCTGCCGCAGCTGATCGCCTCCTGCCTAGGAGCCCACCTGCGGTGGCTGCCAGTCCCACCCGCAAACCACCCTACCATAAAGATCATCTCTCCCCTCGTTGTAAGTACAACGAATGGGAGCGCTTGGGAGCGCACGGGAGCGGCTGGGAGCGTTGGGAGCGCTTGGGAGCGCCTGGGACGCTTGGGAGCGCCTGGGAGCGCTTGGGAGCCCCTGGAGCGCTTGGGAACGCCTGTGAGCGTTGCGAGCGCCTGAAACATCATGGAAGTCATATGGTAAAACACAGGATTCTGCGACAGCGGCGCACTTGGCAAGGAAAGTCTCAGAGGTGTATGAGCGCATACTCAGAAAAGATCACGTTTGCAAGGGATGGCGAGGGTTTACGTCCGCGGACGCGCATTTGCATTGTGGACCGCAATGGATTATGCACGCATGATCAGGACATCGTATTTTTGCAAGGGATGGCGAGGGATTACGTCCGCGGACGCGCATTTGTAGTGTAAGCCGTAATGGGTTATGCACGCATGATCAGGAAATAGGATGGTTTGCAAGGGATGGTGCCGGCTTGCATGCCGGGTCGTATGTTACCGTATGTTATCGTATGTGCCCGTCTGTACCCGTTTTTACGGGGTTCAGGGCTTAGTATGGATAGGATTACGAGTTTAGGGTTTCGGGGCCCTGGCCGGGCCCCGGGAACGTCGAAAAACGACTCGGGATCAAAAAAAAAGGTCCTGGGGAAGGGGTCGAGACTTCTAGGGGCCCCGCATGGAAAAGATCACGACGTCGGATCTCTGGCACGTGGGGCGTTCCAGAATGGGCTTCGCCCTCCAGGGTAGACAGAGGTGTCGTCTCTTCCTCGGCGGGAGGCGGCGGTGCTTTGGAGCTTCAGAGACGGGGGTCATTGCAAACGGGGGTCAGCCAGGGCACGAAGACCCCCTCCGGCTGACTGGGGTCAGCGAGCCGCTCGTGGCCGCGCATATTGGCTGACCCGGGTTTGCGTAGCCCTGCGTTGCAGTTTTTCTCCTGCACTGCAGTTTGTTGGGTGTCCTGCTGACCCAGGTCTGAATGTCCCGGGTTAGCAGATCCCCGATTCGCTTCGGCAACACGTGGGGCGTTCCAGAATGGGCTTCGCCCTCCAGGGTAGACAGAGGTGTCGTCTCTTCCTCGGCGGGAGGCGGCGGTGCTTTGGAGCTCAAGAGACGGGGATCAATGCAAACGGGGGTCAGCCAGGGCACCAGATCCTGCAGGATCCTGCGAAGACCCCTTCTGGCTGACCAGGGTCAGCGAGCCGCTCGTGTCCGCGAGGCGGCCGCACATATTGGCTGACCCGGGTTTGCGAAGCCCTGCGTTGCAGTTTTTTCTCCTGCATTGGAGTTTGTTGGGCTTCATGCCCGAGTTAGCAGATCCCCGAGGTGCTTCGGCAACACGTGGGGCGTTCCAGAATGGGCTTCTCCTTCGAGGGTAGACATAGTTGCCGTCTCTTCCTCGGCGGGAGGCGACGGTGCTTTGGAGCGTAAGAGACGGGGGTCAATGCAAACGGGGGTCAGCCAAGGCACCAGATCCTGCAGGATCCTGCGAAGACCCCCTCTGGCTGACCGGGGTCAGCGAGCCGCGAGGCGGCCGCACATATTGGCTGACCCGGGTTTGCGAGCCCTGCGTTGCAGTTTTTTCTCCTGCATTGCAGTTCGTTGGGTTTCCCACCCCAGTTAGCAGATCTCCGAGGCGGCAACAAGTGGGGCGTTCCAGAATGGGCTTCGCCCTCGAGGGTAGACAGCGGTGTCGTCTCTTCCTCGGCGGGAGGCGGCGGTGCTTTGGAGCTTAAGAGACGGGGGTCAATGCAAACGGGGGTCAGCCAGGGCACGACGACCCCCTCTGGCTGACTGGGGTCAGCGAGACGCTCGTGGCCGCGCACACTGGCTGACCCAGGTTTGCCTGCATTGCAGTTTGTTGGGGTTCCTGCTGACCCGGGTCCGACTCACCCGGGTTAGCAGATCCCCGAGGTGCTTTGGCAACACTGGGGCGTTCCAGAATGGGCTTCGCCCTCGAGGGTAGACATAGGTGCCGTCTCTTCCTCGGCGGGAGGCGGCGGTGCTATGGAGCGTAAGAGACGGAGGTCAATGCAAACGGGGGTCAGCCAAGGCACCAGATCCTGAAGGATCCTGCCAAGACCCCCCTGGCTGACCGGGGTCAGCGAGCCGCTCGTGGCCGCGAGGCGGCCGCACATATTGGCTGACCCAGGTTTGCGAAGCCCTGCGTTGCAGTTGTTGTGTCTCCTGTATTGCAGTTTGTTGGGTTTCGTGCTGACCATGCTCTGACTCACCCGGGTTAGCAGATCCCAGAGGCGCTTCGGCAACACGTGGGGCGGTTCAGAAATGGCTTCGCCCTCGAGGGTAAACAGAGGTGTTGTTTCTTCTCGGCGGGAGGCGACGGAGGTCGGCGGAAATACGCCGAGGCCGCCTCCGCCGGCGGAAGGCTGGCGGACGCCGGCGGAGGGCTGGCGGAAGGTGGCGGAACTAAACCATGCGCCCCCAAGAGATGGCAACAATTTTGGGTTCAGGGTTTCGGAATGCGCCAAAACATGGGAGCCTTGTACGCCTTCGCAGTGTCATCTGTAGCGTGCACCAGCGTCGATTAGCGTCTGGCAGTCGATGGGGTAGCGCCGAGCTGGCGTCCATTAGCGTCGACCTATCGCCGGCGAGCATCGATTAGCGTCGCTTCCCAAGAGCCAGCAAGATGGTACGGTACGGGAGGCTCCCATGAGTTGCCGCAGAACGGTGTCGCCGATGAGCGGAGGTCGACCACTTGGACACCATCACCGAGCTGGAGCTGTGCACAAGATACGCGTTGCAGGAGCACGGCCAGGCATCGCCCGGGCGCTCCCCTCCCCCTGGCCCCCTCAGAAGGGGCAACGATAGGGGGGGATGGGCAGAGGGGGAGGGAAACATCGACCCCCAATCGCCCATTGATCGCCGATAGGGGTCTGATCGTCCTACCCCGTCCAGGAACGCGCGATCGATTGGCGATGTATCGCCGATTCCAGGTCGATGTTCCCCCCTTTGCCCGTCCATGGGGTTGAAGGGTCATGTGGCATCGCCGATGCATCGGCGATGGTACTCAATGTGTGTGCAGCCCGATGTTCTCCACGCCGACGTCACCGATGCATCGTCAACGTCGACGGAGCTCCGCCGAGGCATCGGCAATGCATCAGCGGTGCGGCGTGGTTCCTCCGACCGCTGCTTCTTAGAAGGCGCGGGCTTTCTCTTTAGATGTAAAGCCCGCGCCTTGTAAGAAGCAACCTCCTTCTAAGAAGCCTTCCCCCCTCCCCCATACACCCTGGTGCGCGCCGCACAGAGGCCTCCATGGGCCGGGCTGCCCCCCTCAGGGCCTCCGGGAACCCCAAACAGGGCCCCAGACATCAGAGATCTCGACCTCCGACCTTCGATTCTCGCACGACGGCGCTGACGACGACGAGGAGGACGAGGAGGACGAGGAGGAGGAGGAGGAGGAGGAGGAGGAGGAGGAGGAGGAGGAGGAGGAGGAGGACGACGACGATGTCGACGACGACGACGACGACGGCGATGGCGACGGCGACGGCGACGGCGACGGCGACGGCGACGGCGAGGGCGAGGGCGGCGGCGGCGGCGGCGACGAGGACGACGAGGACGACGAGGAGGGCGATAACGACGAGGAGGACGACGGCGAGGACGAGGACGAGCCTCCTGGGAGGCCACGCCGCGAGGGAACGGTGGCGTCGGGGGTCTGGGCCCTCGTCTTGGCCCCCTTCCCCGTCCGCGCCCGCCTCCCTCGTCCTCCTCCCTCACCGCAGCGTGCTCCCCTCCCATCCACTCCCCATCCTCCTCCTCTCTCCTCCTCCCTCCTCCCTTCCTAGTTCTCCTTTCCTCCCTCCCCCCCTCCCCATCCTCCTCCTCCTTTCCTCCTCCTCCTCCTCCTCCTCCTCCTCCCTCCTCCTCCTTCTCCATCCCTCCTCCTCCTCCTCCTCCTCATCTTTCCGTCGCCATTTTTAGTTCAAGGCCAAAATGGTGTCCATTCCACTGCCTCCACGGGGTAGGCCCCCACCAGTCCTCGCAGACCCGCCACCACAATCAGGGGCTTGCGGTTCCTGCTTCTCGCTTTGGCCTTGCAGGCGGGCTTCCATACCTGTTTGTCGAGCCCAGCTCCGAGTCACGCGCTGGTTCAGAATCGCCCTAGGCGCTTGGCGCCAAGTCGTTGATTTTAGTATGCCAGTAAGCTCTTCTAGTGGCGACGAGCCTTCAACCTCCCGCGCGCAGCCAGCCGTCCATACGTGCCCGTCGCCGCCAGCGCAAACAAGATCACCCTGACGTTCCGCAATACCGCCGGCGAGCTGCCGCCAGAGACACACTCACCGCCGGAAGCCGCGCAGGATTCAGCACTCAGCGCCAGAGTCAGAGACACTGACAACCAGCATGGAGCTCGCGCCTCTACCCGCTCATCAGCACGACCTGCTCGCTCTTCCGCTCGCCCCGCATGTGCTGGCGCGCCACCATCAGCCATGGACGTGGGCAAGGCTCATCCTCATCACGCAGCCGCAGCACCACACCTTCCCGCCGTCGTTCACGGTCACCCTCTCGCAGGTGCCGATGGCCCGTGGAACCGCGCACATTCGGCCCAACAGCTCGCGGACGACATCGAGAGCTTCGCCACCTTCCTTTTTCCTGATCGAGAACGACCCGCAGGACCCTCTGCCCAAGCTGAAAACGCACAAGCAGTTAACGGTTTCCCCACGCCTCCTGACGCAGCCGAACTTGTCGCCCAGGCACACGTTTCTGTTTTTCTCGCCGCCGACGCCGCTTCTCAGAACCTCCTGCAGAAACACGTTGCGCCTGCCGCCAGTACAGTTCAAGCTCAAGCAGATCAGCCCCGCACGCAATATTGAGAAAGCGTTCGTGCGCTTCTGTAAGACCAAATACTCCAAACAGAACGTCGAGTTGACAACCTCCACGATATCGTTGTCCGCTCCCGCGGAAAGCCAGACCGGCAAGGTGTTGAACAGCAGCGCGTGTGGCAGCATGTTGATTAGTTGCGCGACACCATCGCGTCTGCGGAGGCCCAGGCCCCGATCGCGGACCTCTCCAGGCTTGCCGGAAGGACAGGGCACGAGACGCCACGCTCCTCTCCATCGGCAGCCAGCAACTCGTCGCTCCCGGCTTGCCCCTCGACGATTTGCAAGAGTGGATCCTTTTTGCCAGCCTGCAGTCCGGCCAAGTGGAGATCATCGGCGATGCGCCCGCCAGGCGCCCCATCCTGCGAATTACAAATGACAAATCAGTCGTTATCCCACGTGCTCTCTCGCCCTGCCGGCATCTGGAAGCGTTTGGTCTCTACTGAAGCCAGGGGCGCGTGCGCTGTCATCTACATCAAACCTGACAAGTCCGCCGAGCAGATCCGCGCATGTATTGAGTGCAAGAAGCTCCAGCAGCTCCTGCAGCAGCGCTACCCCGAAATGCAGTGGCGCGCTATCCGCTATCCGTGCGAAGGGCAAGATCTCGTCCGCCTCGACATCCGCGGCCAGGCCGACCTCGCCATCCTTGAGTAGAACGACGCAGCGTTTGACTTGGCCCTCTTCCCGGGCATTGACAGTCGCCCTCTGCGCAGACACCCAGGAGGCCGCGTGGCGCTCCTCGCCGCCCGTGGGCCCCATGGCTCATGTCCGCGACGACCGAACAGGTCGCGGTCGCCACGTGGCACGCCCGCGCCCTCATGTGCCACAGGCGCAAGAGGCGTCGCACGACGCAGGCCGCTGTAGAAGCAGGCCGCTCTAGCCAAGCACATGCAGCGCCAGTGCGTCGTCATGCTCCAGGAGGCCCGTGGCTCCGAGGCCTTGCTCCGCACCTGGGTGGATACTCAGCCGCGCCCCTGCAATCATGTCGCCTCCGATCTCGCGACCGCCGACGGCGTCGCGCAGCGCTGCGCTGGCGGCGCTGCTATCCGCGCGCCGTGGCTCACGCCGACGCAGCCTGAACTGACGCAACCCCATCGAGAACCAATCTGCCCCCGGGAAGTGGCCGTCGCTGGCCGTTTTCAGCTCGTCGCCTTCACCCGCGCCATCTCCCGCAACAGCGTTGTTATAATGAGCGTGCGCAATCGCGGCGTCAACGTGGCCGACCGCGCAACAGCCGGACAAGCTCGGCGCCGCCGCCGCTCGTGGGCAGAACTTGCGCGCCGCCATCGCGCGTTCATCGCCGACGGGAACGTCGACGTGGCCAGTCGCCCGCCAAGCAGCTTCCCTCGACCTCTGCAACATCGCGCGCGCCTTGCTCTTGACCGCGGCGCCCGCCCACAACAGCCGCTCGGGGAGAACCGCTTCGTCGCGATGCTTGGGATCGAATCGGATCCCCCAGCGCGCATCGACAGGGCTGCTTTCGCCGCGTCCGCCATCGACCGGATCGTCATCTGCCTCCCGTCGCGCGCCGCGCTGGAGTTCACCGCGAACGTCGCGACCGGCCGCGACTCCTCCACCCTGTCCGACAGCCGCGCTATCATCACCTTCGCCATCGGTATCAAGCCAGGGCACCACCGGCCGATCAATCCATCGAGCCTGCCATCTTCCGCGGCCCGAGCTCCCCGATCATTCCGCGGCGGCTGATCGGCGCCGTGAATGTCAAGCGCGTCCCGACCCATAACCACTTGCGCACCCGCAAGTGCCTCAGGGTCGAAGCCGCGCGGCTCGCCCGCGATGGGCGGGCGCGCCGCCCCGCCGGGGCGGCCGGCAAGCCGGGGCGCGTCGGCGGCAGCGCCATCGCCGCTCGCCCCATATCGCTCGCCATTCCGCGCCAGCACTTCCAGCTGGCTCGCCGTCTTCAGTCTGCCGCCGAGTTGGACGCTCAGTTCCCCTCCTTCGACAGCGGCGCCATCGCCCTCGCGAGTGCCGCCGAGTCTGCGTGACTCTCGTCCTCGCTGCGCCGTGACTCCCAGGCCTGGCGGCGCCCCCCGGCACAGCTAGCGGCCCGGTGCCCTGTTGGGCATGCTGTCGCGCTGGCCGCCCGGAATCTCTGACGGGCCCTTCGGCCCCGTCAGCGTCGAGCTCTCTTGCAGGTTCCGTGGAAGCGTCGCTTCGCCCCCCTAGGGGTCAATATCCGCGGCCCTCAGGGGGCCCGAGGGAGCGCCGGAAAGAGTTGTTCCATGGTCGACGTGCTCCGCGATCTCTGGCAGCCCGTCTTCGCCGCGGACGAAGTTAACGCGGCCAAGGTCCAACTGCGCGTTGCTGACCGCGCGCCGCGGGTGGCCGCCGTCGACGACTCCGCGCCTGGCCCCGACTGCTTGCCGCGGTCCGCCTGGCTGGCTTTCGGCGCGCCGCTGGACATCTCGGAGGCCCTCTCGCCCAGCACCTGGGCGCGCCGGCCCCGCCCGCGGAGCCTCGGCGACTCCGACTTCGCCTTCCTGCCGACAGATGGCGACGACGTCGCGGGCGAGCCCACTGCGGACCAGGCCCCCGAAGGCACGCGACCTTGATTGTCTCCGGGCCAAAGGCTCGAGTCGACGACGCTCCTTGGCGCCACGCTGATGCCGCCCCGCTTCGCCAGACCTCATGTGCACCGATAGGCAGAATCTGCGTTTCATCTTTTGTTTCGTGACCCTCCCTATAGTAACAGACCCGCGCTGGAATCCAAGACCCTGATCGGTCAAAAACACGGGCGTCAAAGCCATCACCGGCGCGGCCGATCCCCCCCTGAAGTCGGCCGCTGCCAGCCGCGCTCGCAGCGCCCAGCGGGCGCTTCGATTAGCGCCCAGCGTGCGCTTCGACTTCGCCGCGGCGCCCCCGTCTCTCTTGGTCGCGCCGGGTTATTTGCTGCACTGGGGCGCCCCGGGGCCCCGGCTGGCACCCTCAATCTCTGGCGCGCGCTATGCGCTGCGCGCCGCGCAGCTACGTCGGGGCCCGCCGCGACGCGTTCTCGATCGAGTCTGGCGCCGCCAAGGGAGGGAGGCCCAGCGAGCGGTTCCGCGCGGGCCATCTCGACGGGCCCGCTCGCCCGCCGCATCGCGCCCTCTGTCGAGCATGACGACGGCGCCCCGAACCTCGACTAGGGCTATACCTCGGTGGTTGCGCTGACGACCTCGGGTTCTTCGCGCGCTCGCTCGACGCGCTGCGCCGCGAGTCTGAGCCTTCCGCTGTCGCCGAGGAACTGGCGCTCCCATCTCAGAAGACGGGCAAGTTCGGAGTCGCCCCACTCTGGCCCGAATCGTCTCCGGCCATCACTGCTCGCACCCAAACTCCCTCGGCCGCTTCCCGCCCGTCGCGGGGGAAGGGGGGCTCTCGGTTTCTGGGCGGGCCCAGTGCCTCGGGGCCTTCCATGCGTCGTCCGTCCCCCGCGCCGGTCAATAGCTCGCGCCTGGGCAAACGTGGTGGCAAACGAAAGATCTTCTCAATCCAGAGCAAGGCGGCAGTGACGCTACGGTTCGTTGATATACCGCCTCCACCCCGTTCACGCTCCGCTATATGACTCATCTATTCCCTCTAAAAATAAAATCATTTCCCGTAGCGAGCTGTGCCTTTTTGACGCGTCGAGCATGCCGCCAGACTCTTTCCGCAAAGTGGGCCCCGTTGTGTCGTGCCGGAGTTGAGCCCGCCACCCGTGCCGCGCTCGGCGTGCGCCACGGCCGCGGCGACCGTCTCCGAGACACTGCGTGGGAAGTACGCGCGCTGTCTCACGTTCGCCAGTGGATATTGGTCACTGGCCTCCGCCGTTCCTGGAGCGAGCGGCGCCCCACCGCGCGGTGCCGCCATGCTCTGGCGAACAGTCGTCGCCAGCGCCCACTTTCAGCGGCAGTCCCGGCCGCGGCGAAGCGCGCTGCTCGCCCGGAAGTTTGCGAGGCCCCGCCGGCGGAGCCGCCGCCGTCATCGCGCCGACCCCAAGTCCAGCGCGCTGGCCATCCACTGCGGTGCCGCGCCGCGCTGCCTTCAGCTCGCCCTTTACTACTGTCACTCTTCAGACACGTCTGGTTGCGCGGGGCATCGTCGACCAGCTGCCCCCGCCCAGCGAGCTTTCCAGGTGCCGGTCCGTCCTCGCCCAGGAGCTCCGAACTGCTTGCCCCAGCTAGCGCCGTTCTACGCTCAAGACTCTCAGCGGTGACTGGTCGACCATCGCCCGCGCGCGCGTGCTCGCCCCGAGGCGCTGCGTGTTCGGTTGAGCGCAGGCTTCAGTCTCGTTTCCCTGTACCTTTCCCGCCCAGTTCTCCCGTTTTTTTTTGGGTGGTTCCTGCGCCCCTCCCGTCCCCCACCTTCCATTCCGGTCTCGCGACGTGAGGCTTCGGCCCAGCTGCCGCGCATCCGCTTGGCCCCGCCAGCGACGTCTCACTGCGGCGGACGGTCCAACGCGTGGCGCGCGCTCTCCACATTTACAACCAAATCAAAGCTGCTGCCTCGTCGGCGGCCGACGCGTGAGCGCCCGCCTCCAGTGCAGGCCCTGCCCTACATTGGTGCCAGTCATCTCCTGTGCCGCGCTGCCAGCCGCCAAATTTGCTCTGCTGATTTGCGCGTTCGGAGACGCTCGTCGCCCCCAGGGCGCTGTCATTCCTCCTCCTCTTCCTCCTCCTCCTTCTCCTCCTCTTCCTCTTCCTCCTCCTCCCCCTCCTCCTCCTCCTCCTCCTCCTCCTCCTCCTCCTCCTCCTCCTCCTCCTCCTCCTCCCCTTCCTCCATCCTATTTCGGGCGCGAGACTTTGGATCGACGATCTATCTAGACTGGTGGTTGGATCTCGCATACATGTCAAGAAGGAACTGCTGCAGGTAGCCGAGTTGACGTCCAGCCTCCTTCAAGAAGGAGGGCATGCAGATGGCGGCCAAGAGTGTCCTGCTGTGCTTGCGCCACCAGGATGCCAAGGAGGTGGCCAGGCTCCTACGACGGCGTGGAGTCACCAGTCAGCCAGCACCCCAGGCAGGATACCTTTGCGTGGATTGCGGTGCAAGTAGGCACGCTGGAGGTACGACAGCGGAGGCCGGGGACATGAGCGCGAAGATCCGCCGCTTTGCCCAGGCAGCTCGTCGCCACAGGCCCGCGATGCGCCTCGAGAAGGCGGGGACCCAACTAGCGGGTCACTACGGGCGCCGCACATGCGGTGTCTTCGGCGCCGCCATGCTGTCCACGCGCAGGAAGTTGGCCCACGTGTCCAGCTCGGCGAAGTGAGGATGTTGCATTACATCGGTGCTCGACCTACGCTGCCCGCGGCAAAACCCAGGTGCGCGACTGCCAGTTAACTATCTTCGGCCATGGCTGCGCACATGGGTCACAGCGCGGAGCGCCCAGGGAGGCATTCGGGCTGCTTGGCCCAATTTGGTCTCCAAGCTGCAGGCGCTGCCAGTGCAGCAGAGGAGCGGACGCGTTCGAGTGCCCATCAGCTCAGCCATCACGTACTTGCTGCAGCACGGTTGGGATCCAGTCAGCCCTACTGAGTTGGGCACCATGGCTTGCGGTCAGCCAGTCCGCGAGGCTTTTTATTGTTGATCAGCCCACCCCGCAGGACTTAGTAGCCCCGCTGCTGGATACCTTCGAGCACGTGGTACAGCTGCAGAATTGGCAGACAGCTGCCACGCATTTTTGTGGAGCAGGCCTCGAAGGAGGAGCCGACAACCATTCGCATCGTGCTTATCTTCTCGCTCTTGAGAAGGCCGAGCATGGCCATCAGTTATCAGAGATGATGTTGCGTGTTGCTGCCGGGGGGACCTGACCCAGGCAGCGTGTCAGAGACGGCCAGCCAGGAGGCGGATAACCTCTGTCCCAGGTGCCAAGCCGAGCCTGAAACTGCGTTCAATCGCGCCTGGTCGCGCAGGTGCCGCAGTGGTTCCGAGGCTTGCGCCGCCTCCGACGAGCTGATCCTTCAAGCGGTGAGTCAACGCGATCCGATGCGTGTGTTCGGTTGCGCGGCATCTTGCCAGCGAGCTGGACGAAGGTGGAAGGTGCTGCGGCCGAGCATCGGTGGCAGCGCCGCGGATCTGCCCGCCAGCGCAACCAGATCGCCCTCGGCGGTGGCACTGAACGTCTCGCCGTCCCTGTTGTCGGCGGTGCAGGCGGCGGGGGCGGGGGGAGGGGGCTCGAGAGGCGAGCGCCTCCGCCGCCCTGACATCGGTCGTGTGTCGCACGCCTCTGTCACCCCTTCCGCGCTGGCTGCGACTAGGCGTAGTCCTCTCCCTGGGCCACGCCAGCCTGTCTCAAGAGGTGAGCTGGCAGTTTTTCTGGCCGCCCAGTGTACGCCACTGATATCCGAGGGGTGATGGATGGGTGGCAGTCGAAGCCTTTCGAATCCCCGGCGGGGGGAAGCTTGGGTCTCTGGAAGCAGCTTGGTGATCTGAGCCGTTTTCGTAAGTTTTCGGAAGGTCAGGTCACACATGCCTGGACCTGAGATAGATCGTACCGGCACGCGCACGTGTGGATGGCCGAGGGTAATGGGGCCGCCGACGAGGAGGAGGAGGAGGAGGAGGAGGAAGGGGAGGAGGAGGAGGAGGAGGAGGAGGAGGAGGAGGAGGAGGAGGAGGAGGGAGGAGAGGAGGAGGAGGAGGAGGAGGAGGAGGAGGAGGAGGAGGAGGAGGAGGAGGAGGAGGGGGAGGAGGAGGAAGAGGAGGAGGAGGAGCGAGCCTTGCAGCTGAAAGAGTGTCGTGCCGGCGAGTGTGGTCGGAGTCGGGCAGCACAGGCGGAGCACGAGGCGCGCGCCCGGTCAGAAGGAGGGCCGTCCGGGGCCAGCCTGGAAGCGGTGGCGGTCTGAGGAGCGGTCGCCCCCCGTTCAAGAGGTCGTGCCCTCCTCCGCCCTCCGCCGCTTCCCTCGCCCTCTTTGGGCCCGAGCATGCTCCTTCTGCAGATGGCCGCAGCTGCACCGTGTGTCGTGACAGCGCTGCCACTGCGTCGCTGACAGACTAGAGGGAAAATGGGTGCACGGAGCTCGAGTCGCAGGCGAATGCGAGCCTCTTGAGGCTGCCGACGGGTCATTCCGTCCACATAGGGGGTGGATGGACGCATGGGTCTCGCGCAATGTTGTACCACACGGGCCTTCGGATTTGGTTTTGTGGTCCTGCGGGTATGCGAGTCAGCAGCTTGGGCCTTATGTTGGCCCAAGCTTGTAAACCTGAACTTATAACCAGGACCAGGCAATCCTATCTGGAGAGAATTCGCAGGGGCTTGATGCCCAAGTAAGTAGTCCGACTAAGCCCGAGTATTGCTCGGGCAGTGGTCTGATCACGTAGATTCGCTTCGCGATAGGTCCAATCCCATCCAATCCAATCCAATCCAATTCAATCCAATACAATCCTCCTCCTCCTCCTCCTCCTCCTCCCCCTCCTCCTCTTCCTCCTCCTCCTTTTCCTCCTCCTCCTCCTCTTCCTCCTTCTCCTCCTCTTCCTCCTCCTCCGCCTCCTCCCCTCGCCTCTTCCCGCCTCCCCCACAGCTTGCCCCCCTCTGGCCAGGCGTCGCCGGACGAGCAGGACCTCGGCGCCCAGGGGTGCTGGTATTTCGAACGCACGCAGCGGGTGATCTTCAGCCAGTCGGGCGTGTCGGACGCCTCGTTCACCGACTACAGGTCAGCGGGTTCATGTCGACTTCTCCGATTCGATTCGATTTCGGTGGCTTCCGATTCCGACTCGATTCGACGTCGCATTCCGGTCGGGATTCCGAATCTCAATGGAGGCCTATATTGCCTTGCGGATTCCCATCGCTCTCGACTCCTCCCGAGTTGGCTGCCGATGTCCGCCGATCCGATCCCTGTCGATCGCCGATCCGACTTAGCGATTCGATTCTGGGCTCTCTTGAAGGCCGGGCGTTGCCAAAGCCGAAACAAAAACACACGAACTGAACTTTTCTGAGCTCCGCGCGGATGTCTCGGATCTGCGCCGGGCCCCCCCCCCGGCGGCGCCTCACGCTTCTGGTGCGCTCCACGCGCCGTGGAGGGGGTCCAGCGCAGACCCGAGGAGCTCGACGGCACGCAAGAGTGATCTTGCGCCAGAGTGACCTTTGATGCGGGCCAATGGGCTCCCCCGGTCGCTGAACGCAAAGCTGTAGCAGCGGCTTGCGCGTCGTTTGGCCACCCCCGCGTCCCCCGTTCAAAGCAGCGCAGCGGAGGTCACTCTTGCCCAGGGCCACCCCTGCGTGTAGCCGAGGGGGTCGCGCGGACCTCCGAACGTTTCTGCATATGGTGCTTGTTGTTTCTCCATAGGACTGCTCCTGGCCCGAGGATTTCCAGGGAGCCCGCCCCCACGGCCATCAGGGCACCCCTGATGACGCCCAGGGGGCCAGGGGCGCTCCAGGGTGGCCCGAAACATTGGGGACGCCTTGGCCTGTGGGGCTCCATTGGCAATGCCCGAACAGGAGTATCTGCCTCGGGGTCTACCACATTTACCCTGAGGCTTACACAGTCGCTCCCCAAGGAACCACCTGCGCGGATATCTCCCTGACCACGCTGAGCGACGGCAAGATTTGCCGGTCGTACGCGAATGCCCTCGGTCTCAACTTTAGCGTCAGCGACCAGATGGGCCTCTATGGTTGCATGTACCTCGGGCCTGTGATGCAGGTGGTGTTCAGCTCATCTGCGGTGTCGGGGCAGCATCCCGAGTTCTCCGACTACAGGAGCGTCTGCGAGGGAAGCACAACAACAACGACGGGTACCACGCTCTCCTCATCTTCTTCGACGACGCTTTCGACATACGTGGCCCCAACAGCGGAGCAGGTTTCGGGGAACAATCAGTGACAGAAACATACAATTGCGGAGATCCGCGCGGAGTTCCGAACGTTTATGTTTATGTCATTGCTTGATCCCCTAAGATTGCGACCAAGGCAGCTGGCACCTGGCAGACGGCCGTGATTGTGCTCATTGTATTGGGAGGTATTGGCTTCCTCGTCATGATGATCGGGTGCATGGTGCCCATGCGCACGCATAGCTTGGGCGGATCCCCGCCGTCAGCAGTGTGACTGCGTCTTCTTCGGCAGAATGCAAGCTGGAGGAGAGTGATAGTTTTTGTTGTGTCACATGGCATACGCCGAAGCGTGTAGGCAGCCACAACGAGTTATCAAATCGAGTGTGTCGTTTCACGTCGGTGTTGCCAGGAATTAATCGACGTGCGACGTATTGCGAAGCATGCAGGTCGCACAATCCTGCCCCCCTCCCGCTGAACGATCGAGGTGGAGGGGTACACGCCCAGACAAATGACACGTGCACGAGTGGGACTGGGGAGTCAGCCCTGCCACCCCAGCACCATACCAAGGAGCCAGGGGGCCGGACGCGACTGACATTTACCCCTTCTGAGGTGCTCCTCCGCCCCCTTTTCGTGGCGCCTCGAATAAGAAGTGGAAGCCCGAAGTGGATGGCGGCCTAAGGACTGCGCTTATTCATGGCACAACACAGAACCACAACCACAACTAAGTGGATATTTCGGGATGGCCTCTTGGGGGAAAACTCACTGACCTCGACATGAGCACTTTGGGGCTTTGGTTGTGGCCGATTTGGCCACATTGGCCACAAGCAGTACGAAGCTGGTTTCGGTGTTCTGGCGATTTCTTGGCATGCGCAAGACATCCCCCCAGGGCTCGAGAAGGGGATCGAATACACAATTCATTCACCCCAAACCTCATTCCCTCGTCGAATCTACCAGAAAGGCGTAGCATGTTTCGCGGATTCGGCGACGAAGAACCAGTTTTGTGGCACATCGATTCTGTAGTCGATCCCCTGCTCGAAGGGTGCGTTCTCGCTGTGGTCATGGAGGCCTGGCAGGCGGGCCCCTTGCCTCTGGCTCCGCCCGGGGGGGGGGGGGGGGGGCGGAGGCAAGCGCAGCCCCTGCCCCAGCAGCGTGGCCGCGCCGAGCGCGCGCAAGGGGGGCGAGAGGAGAGGCGCCGCCAACCTGCTCCCGCCTGCCGCGGGGAGGCGCAGGAGGGGGAGCTGAAGGCACAGACACAGACAGCTCTCGATCCCCAGGGCAACGTGATCGACAACATGATCGACAATCTAATCGAAAATGGTATGGAGGGGGCGACCAGGGAACATCAGGGGTCATCCTGGGATCTGTGCCGATGGATTGATGTGCCCCTGGGCCCCTTCGAGACCCCCACCGAATTGCCACCCCGGTTGGGGATACGCCCCTCGAGACACGAAGGGAACGACCCACATATGATCCCGGGCTCTGGGCCCACGGCCCCCCCCCCCAGATGGTATGGTCCCAGGATTCCTCGGGCCCCCCCCCCCAGATGGTATGGTCCCAGAGACGACGACGACGACGACGACGACGACGACGACGACGACGACGACGACGACGACGGCGACGACGACGACGGCGACGACTACGACGACGGACGACGACGACGACGACGACGACGACGACGACGACGACGGCTGCGGCGGCGACGACGCCGGCGGCGGCGGCGACGACGACGATGACGACGATGACGACGGCGACGACGACGATGACGACGACGATGACGACGACGACGACGACGAGGACGACGACGACGACGACGACGACGACGACCTCTGAACCACCACAGCACCACACCACATCCACAGGGGGGGGGAGGGGGGCACCGCAGCGCAGCACCACGCCACGCCCACCTCTGAACCACCACAGCACCACACCACATCCACAGGGGGGGGGAGGGGGGCACCGCAGCGCAGCACCACGCCACGCCCACAGGGGGGGGCGGGGGGGACCATCGCGCGGGGGGGGGGGGCCCAATGGCATCAGCATTGGAGGGGAGGGGGGGGGGCCCAAGCCCTGGACCATATATCATCATCCGGGGGGGGGGTACATCGGCCAGGCCACGCCGCTGGGGATGAGGATCGGTCAATCGATGCTCACCAGGAGGGGGAACAAGAGCACAGACACAAACAGCTCTCGATCCCCAGGACAAATGTGATCGAAAGTGCGGACGGTGGAGGGGACCACCATGGAGCATCAGGGGTCATCCTGAGATTTGCGCCGATGGATTTGCGTGTCCCTGGGCCCCTTCGCGCTGCCCGGCTCCAGGAGACGTGCTCAGAGCTCAGACGAACAGGGAGCACGCGCGCGCAGAGGCACAGCAGTCGGCAGTGCGCGGCCGCGCCGCCTGGGTGGGCCATCGGGGTGGGGGGGCAGGCGGAGCTGGCGCACCGCTGCGCGCGCGCACTCGGTCGTGCCCGGTGTGCTCTCCCCCCTCCCCGTTGGAGCCTCGGAGGAACAGCTGGGACTGCACGTAAGAGTTCGAAGGAGAAGAGACGCCATAAACATAAGCTTGTGGCGCTCCGCGCGGATTTCTTACATGTTATGTTTATGTTGTTTTTTCTTCTTCTATACACATAAGAGTGACCTTTCGCCAGGGTGACTCTTGGTGTGGTTCCCCCGATCGCCGAACGCGGTGCGGCAGTAGCGTCTTGCGCGCTTTTGTTTGGTCCCCCCCGCGGCCCCCCCAAGAAGCCGCGCACCAAAGGTCACTCTTACCCATGGCCGCTCTTGCGTGTAGTCGAAAGGTTCAGCGAGCGCATCAACTGAGAACCTGGACTGCAAAGCGGGTGCCCCACGAGAGTTTCTGATCTGCCGATGCGGCCGAAGAGCCCCAGGGCACCTCCCCCCTGCTCAGAGTCGACGCCGGATGCTCCCCTAGCTTTCGTACAGCAAGTTGCCTTAACGTACATGCCCGCAGTGCCTCTCTGAGCGAACTCACTGACGACACTTCTTCTTACTTGGCTTCTTCGTCTTCTTGTTGTCGCGTTCTCATCTTTAGGAAAAAAAGGTGTTGATCCCCCCTCTTATGCAAATTATGGTGCTTTAGCTGAAGCGCCCCTCCCAGGGCTCGCAACCTGGTTCTTGCAAGGGAAAGTCTTAGGCCTCATACTGCGTTCTTGACCACCGGACTACAACAACGGCTCCGGCTTGACTTTTCTTTACAGTTTAGTCACAATCGCGCTCTCGTGCGGTATCACCTTACAATTTATGGAATCTCGCTCTCGCGTGGGACTTCTTTGCAATTTTCGCATACGCCGTGTCCACGACACTTCGCTCTCGCTCTACGCTTCAGCGACCCGCCCGCTCGACCCGGCCTCCTGGGCCAGCCCGCCCGATCCGCCCGTCAGGGTCCGCCCGCCAGACTCACCCGTCTGGGTCTGCCACTTGTTTTTGTTTTCCTAAGTCCCCTCTTGCTAATCTCTCTCGTGCTCCATCCTTTTTCCTCTCTCTCTCTCTCTCTCCCCTGTTCCTTCCTTCCACCCTCCTTGTATTCTCATGTTTGAGGGGCTGCGCCAGCCACACGTGGCAGATAAGGAGGATATACACCCAGGGAGGTACGATCGAAGACGAAGAGGGGGGGTATCGAGGGTTTGGGACATCGATCAGATAAGAGCGAGCAGCTTACAATGGATTTCTAAAGGATGACTACTGTTGATCCCCTCTTCTGGTGCCCACTGTGCTTTTTCAGTCGAAGTGCCCCTCCTGGGGCACACACACACACACACACCCTATTCTTTGCAATGGGGGAGTTCTGGGTCTCAGAGTGCGCTGTTCGCCCCCGAGCTACCACAATCGGGTCGGGCGAAAGGGGGGGATTGGGAAAGGTGGGGTTACGAAATCTGCTGCATGCAGCTGGTTTCGGCCTCACCGAGGGGCCCATTCCTCGATACATGGTCGCCTCCGGCGCCGGGAGGCGCCGGGAGAATCAGCTACGTGAGCTGATTCTCAAACCCCCCCTTTGCTATCCCCCCCTTTCGCCCGACCCGACACAACAGCGGCTCCGGCCTGATACCTCCTCACAATGCACCCGCCCGCTCGACCCGGCCGTCTCGGGCCCGCCCGCTCGACCCGCCTAGTAAAGGGCTCGCCCGCCCGATGTGCCTGTTTGGTTCTGCCGCTTGCACTCCTGCTCCCTACCCTCCTCCTCCTCCTCCTCCTCCTCCTCCTCCTCCTCCTCCTCCTCCTCCTCCTCCTCCTCCTCGGGGGGCGCCGCGGGCACTCCTCCGACGCCATGATCATGTAGTCGGCCTCCTGCTTCGGCGGCGCGCGGGGGCGACCCTGGGCCAAGGGGGCACCCCCCCTTCTCGTGCTAATCCCTCTCGTGCTCCATCCTTCTTCCTCCCTGTTGTTCCTTCCCTCCTCCCGCCCTTCCCCTGTCTGCGGGGCCTCGCAAGCTACAACTGCACGTGGCAGGTGAGGAGGATGTGCCCCCGATGGGGGGCACGAAGGGGGCAGACATCGAGGGTTCGGGAAGTGGTAAATGACATCGAGAGCCCGTTACTGGCTCCATCGACTGGGATCGGCGAGCGAGGGACGCAACAGCATCGCATCTGCAGTCCAAGGGCCCCCGAGCGATGCACACTCCCCTGCTCATCTGACCAGGCCCTCAAAAACTGGCATCCTCCTCGCCCCCCGCCTCGTGCCCCGACGCCGTGCCCTCATGGGCACGGGCGGGCTCCCTGGCGGAGCGCGCACGACTCCTGCGCGGCCGCTTCCCTTCAGGAGGGGAAAAAACACACAGACACAATTAATCGGCGATTCTCAGAAAAAATGGGAAAATATGGGAAGTGGGGGGGAAGACAAGAACCCAGAAAATATGGGAAAATATGGGGGTTATTTTTATTTGTGTGTATTTATTTGTGTGTCCCAATTCCCCTTCATCCCTGTGCCCCGGCGTCCGACCGCTGGTTGGCGCCTGCGGCAGATGCGCGCCGCCGTGGCGGCCCGCCGCAGTGCAGCGCAGGTCCTTCCCGCGAGCCGTCGGGTGAGCGGCCTGGCCCACCCCCTCCACATCACGCACACAACTTTGAAGACATCTGACTTCGATGAACGCGGCCTACTCATATAACACAAGAGAGAGAAAGACCGGGGGAGGGCAAGAGAGCAGCAACGTTGACGATGTCGAAACGGAAACTGACCACGAAACGAGTGGTCCCGAAAGTCCGCCATCATCACGCGACCCAAGGAGGGATCGACGGGGACGTAGAAGTGCTTGAGGGCATCAGGGGATTCCCACGAGCCCCGCTTGGCCCCGATCCCGCAAGCAAGCGCCATAGCAAGCAAGCGGCACAGACCAGGTGGGTATGCTTTAGCATTCGCAGTGGTCCACTCGCCATTGTCTTGGATCCCGTGTAGAGTAAGATACTGATGATCCCGGGCACACTTTCCTTCTCCGAACTATGAACTAGTAACAGCCTGAACGGGTGGGGCATGCACGCGCAATAACGAGGTGGACTTAAGCGCCTGGGACCCGAAACGGCATTGGTGCATGTCAACCTTCCTTATGCACGCATCAGAGAGAAGACGTGCTATCTCTATTGGGAGCCAAATTTACGGGAGCATTGTTATGTTCAGGATGTTCGGTCACCATGGGTATTCTAGCAAGCACGCGCTCATCAAGAAACATAATGGACGTTCTGAGCAGAGCGTTGCCAACGATCAGCTGACTCCTTGCCCTGGCTCTGAGGTTTTTTTTGCCCCACCCTCCTCCTCGCCCTCGTCTTCGTCCTCGTCGTCCTCCTCCTTGTCCCCCTTCCTCCTCCTCCTCCTCCTCCTCCTCCTCCTCCTCCCTCTCCTCCTCCTCCTCCTCCTCCTCCTCCTCCTCCTCCTCCTCCTCCTCCTCCTCCTCCTCCTCCTCGTGATGCCCCCCGCCCCCTCCACCACCTCCTCGCCCTCGCCTCCCTCCTCCCTTCGGGGGGCCCCTGGCGGTGCGGTGACCACACCGTGTGGTGAGCTTGTGGGGCTTTCGGGGTCACCGCACGGCTCTCCTCGGGGGCGGCAAAGAGGGGGGTGATGACTAGGGGGGGGGATATCATGGCGATCGCAAACATGGATCAAGGGGGCGTTGATTAGCGAGAGGTCTCGCTTCCATGGGAACCCGCGCATTTTCGCCGCCGAACGAGGCGGCACCAGCCGCATTTTGGGGAGGGCACCTTCCCCGATCCGTGGATTTAGCGACCGCGCGCAAAATCCATGGATCGCTAATCCATGTTTGCGCGCCCCCGAGGATATCATGGCGTGGGCCACGATATCCCTCCAGATTTCATGGCGCCCCTTCTTGTTTCATTTCGTCCCTGGCCCCGTTTGAGCCGCACACATGCCCCCGGCCATGATCTGCGCCCCCCCCTCTTGGACGCCCTCCTCTTGCCCGTGCCCGATCTGCGGCCGGGGTCGTTCTCCGAGGACGTCTCGGGCGGCCCGGGCCTCCCGAGCCCCGAGAGCCGCGAGGTCCCGGAGCGTCGGAGCGTGCGGCGAGGTCTCCTGGGATTCCGAGGTCCCCACACCGTCCCCAGACCCCCTCGCGCTGCGAGAAAGCCACGACGGGGAGCCTTTCGCTAGTTTCGGCCTCCGGGCTCCCTTCCCGGGGCGACGCAGGCTCCTCCTCCTCATCCTCCTCCTCCTCCTCCTCCTCCTCCTCCTCCTTCTCATCCTCCTCCTCCTCCTCCTCCTCCTCCTCCTCCTCCTCCCCCCGCGGTAGATCTCCGAGGGTCGGCGCTGCGGCAACAAGCACGACGTCGGGGGTCTGCATGGCAAGGCTGCCCCCGAGCCCGCCCCCGCCCCCCCTGGACGCTGCCCCTGGGCTCGAGAGGCCCCGGCCAGGCGCTCCAGCAGAGCACCAGGAGCTGCGGGCCCGACACGGGAGCCCGGCCCTGGGGGCGGGGGCGAGGCCAGGGGGCGCGGCACGGGGCGATCCCCACGGATCGACTCGGAGGGGCGCGGGTGCCCCCGGCCTGGGGCCCAGGAGACCGTCCCGGGAGAGAGAGCCCCGCGAGCCGAGCGCGTTGCCACCCCTCGCTCGCGCCTCCCGCGCTGGTGCGCCGCCGCTCGCACGGAGGAAGGAGCACGGGGCGGACGGACGGAGCGTGGGCCGCGCGGCGTCGGGGGCTCTCGTCGCCCTCGGCCGTCGGGCGTATTGGTTGTGTGTGTGTGTGTTGTGCAGGCCTAGAGGTTGACACCAACACCAATATCGGCGGCGTGCCTCCACCGAGGGAAGACGATCCCGATCTCGGTGATGGTGGTGATATCATGGCTTCCAAGGTGGCCGAAACATTACCTCCAACACCGAAATCTAGGATCATCTTCCCCATGTGGAGGCAACCCCCTGGGCTGGTGTTGGTGCCAATCTCCAGGCCTCCAATGTGTGTGTGTGTCTTTTTTGGGGGGCGGGGCTCCTGGGAGGGGTGGGCGAGTCAAGGGCTGGGAGCGTCTCGGACAGCTGGGCAGGGCGAGGGAGCTCAAGTCCGAGTGGGTGCTCGTCGAGTCTACGAAGAGTGCGGGAAGTGTTTAGTAGATCTACTGAACATTCTGGGTTTAAGTCGGGCCTGTCCCTCTACAAGAGGAATATTCAAAAGTAGCTAGAAGGTAGTATGGGGACGCTGTTGTTAGTACTGTTGGGTATTTGTTGGATATGTTTTGTCTATTTTTTGGTTTCGTCTAAATTCCCCCTGTAGGGGGACATGCTCGACCTAATCCTAGGTGTTTTGACGTAGGTCTGGCGAAACAGAATTTTGGGGTACATCAATTCTGTAGTCGATCCCCCACTCGACAAATCGGCCGTGGCGCTCTTGCCGCTGCACGCGCGGGGCGGGACTTGCCAACACAGAGCGCCGCCTCCTCAGGGCTTCGGCGCTTCAGACAGATGCGCGTCTCGGCCGTGACGGTCCAGTGGGCATCCCGGCAGCTCGTTGTTGGGGGAGGGCCGGTCCAGTGATCAAGTGCGCAGTGTCTTGCGATAGCGAATTGAATGTGCGTTGCAATATGACTGCTCTGCTGCTGTCTTCTTTTGTCTTTTGCAGCTCCCTGAGTAAAGCTCGGGAGTTCGTGCTGGTTACCGTGCATGAGCCAGCGAGAGTGCGCACTGCTGCGGTGGAAACGTTGTCTTTGTTTGTTGGTCTGGATAGCTTACGTTTCTCTCGACGATCGCTATTGGGCATTCGAGCTGCTGAATGATAGGTGCAGCACCGGTGCATGGTATACAGTGGTGTTCACGAGGGTATCGTCGCTCCAACGCTGAAGGCGCCTGTGTTTTTTTCACGCGGCTGTATCTTCGCGCGCCCAAGAAAAGATGGCTCCTCGGGATTGCTCCACCTCCTGTTACCCTCCCTTCCTCTCCGCACGAGCTGCATCAGCGGCGGAGATACCCGAACGGCAGTAAAAAAGAAAAGGCTGACGGCGCCTCGAGCGACCGATCGGCCCACTCTCTTCTTGACAAGCCTGGCCTTGCTGCCTCTACTCCGAAGGTATCACGGCTGACGGCGTCTTGAGCGACCGATCGGCCTCTTCTTGACAAGCCTGGCCTTGCTGCCTCTACCCCGAAGGTATCGCATCTACGCGGCGGTCAGCCTGGGGGGGGGGGTCAGGGGGCGGGTCTGCTCAGAAGGCTCGGAAGTCTCACGGGCCTCCCGAGAGGTCTTCTAAACCTCCCCCGAAGACGCAGAACACTTGTCCGAAGGCCAGAAGGCCTCTGAGAAGACCAGCCGACTTCTGAGAGGGCTTTCTCCTTCTCGCCTCCAGTCGTGCCTGTCCCTCTACAGGAGGGATGTTCGAAAATATTAGAAGCATAGTCTGGGGACGTTTTGTGTTGCATATGTTTGTCTATGTTTGAATTTCTGTTGGGTACTTTTCATTCTTCGTCCAAGATTCGCCTGTAGGGGGACACGCCCGACATAATTCTCACCTTCCCTCGCTCGCCGCCGATCTACAGCTCGGCCCACCTGCGGGTACACGGCTGCTTCTGGGGGGGAAGGCAAGGGGGCCCTCGTGAGATCCAAGCGGGCAGAGAGGCCAGGAGCAAGAGGAGACGGGACCTACCAGCAACCCCAGAGGAGGACTATGAGGAGGAGGAGGAGGAGGAGGAGGAGGAGGAGGAGGAGGAGGAGGAGGAGGAGGACCACGAGGAGGCGACTATCATGCCGAGGAATATGACGAGGGGGATTAGGCCCTCTGGACCTTCTGCGACGTCTTCCCTCAACCGTCGTGCACGCATGACCATGAGTCTACTTCAGGTGGGTAGCTCCAGAAGCAGCCTTTCCGACTTCTCTCACTTGGCGCAGGCCGGCCGAAGGCCAGCGAGGTCGTTGGAAGTGGGACCCTCGCCAAGGCTAGCAGTGTCCTCCTCCTTCTCTTCCTTCTCCTCCTTGACGCTGGCAGCATGGTAACCCGTCGAAGGGCGATGCCATCGCTCCTCCTCCTCCTTCTCGTCCTCGGCCTCCTCCTCCTCCTCCTCCTCCTCCTCCTCCTCCTCCTCTTCCTCCTCCTCTCCTCAGATCCAGGCGTCGTTTTGAAACAGGATGCGAGGGGCGTTTTTCCCTTCTTTTGGGCCCAGGGGCCTCAAGGATCGATCCAGTTCGAGAAGTCCCGTGCAAAGGCGGGGTCGAGAGATCTGGTGGCGGTTTCTTAGCTCCGCCCTGATCCTCTCACGACTTCAAGCCGTCCTTCAAGCGGCCTCGCGGCTGCAAGCCTGGCAGGGATCGGCGGAAGTGGTGGCACTCCCGCGCCACAGCTGTCAGTGGCGGAGCCCTCTCAGGGTTTCCAGCACCAGCCGACTACAGGGCAGCCTCTTGTCCGAGCCCGGAAGCCCTGAACTCGGCACCGCCAAAACATACTTGCCTATACGACCACCCTGCGGCTGATGAGGAGGTTGTGGGGGGTGAGAGGGGGGGAACCAACATCTGACTCAATCGATCTCACTATCGATCTCACTCAACGGGGCACCACGGGAAACCACGGGACACCATGGGACACCACTGGACACCACTGGACACCACGGGACACTTGTCGATCTTACTATCGATCTCATTATCGATCTCACTCAACGGGACACCACGGGACACCGCGGGACACCTCCCGATCTCGCTATCGGTTTCACTATCGATCTCACTCAACGGGACACCATAGGACACCACTGGACACCACGAGGCACCTCGGGACACCACATCGATCCCACTATCGATCTCACTATCGATCTCACTCAACGGGACACCACGGGACACCGCGGGACACCTGTCGATCTCACTATCGATCTCACTTCTTGGGACACCACGGGACACCTCGGGGCACCATATCGATCTCAGTATCGATCTCATTATCGATCTCACTATCGATCTTTCTCAGCGGGGCACCACAGGGCACCACATCGATCTCACTATCGATCTCACTATCGATCTCACTGTCGATCTCACAATCGACCTCACTCAGCGGGACACCATGTGACACCACGGGACACCACGGGACACCACGGGACACCACGAGACACCGTGGGACACCGCGAGCCATCGCCGGACGGACGGACGGGCGGGCGGGGGAGAATCATTTGTCTTGACTTCGCCCTAGCAACGGCGGACACCACGGGACACCACGGGACACCGCGGGCCACCGCTGGACGGGCGGGAGGGGGAGAATCATTTGTCTTGACTTCGCCCTAGCAACGGCGGGTTCATGTCTCTCGCGCGCCCACGCAGCTTCGCCTCGTCCGCGCGCACGACACGAACGCAACGAAACGATATCCCAGTTGGGGGGTTCCGTTCCACTGCGTTCTCACCCCCCAACCTCCGATGCTATATGTGCGCCGGCCACGCAAAGGGTGACGCGCACGCTCGGGAATCTTACTGTCGAAGCTCCGTGTCGGGCGCTGTCCGGCCGTACTGTCCGGTCGGGACACGACGTGCGACAAGAGTTTGTGCTGGATGTTCGGGTCGGATGTGCGTCCACAACAGAGGCACATGGTACTCGTATGTCCTTATGCGGAGGTTGATAGACCTCCTACCCTGACGCGTCGATTGGCGAATTGGCCGTTTTCGGTTCGCGAGAGGGCGTCGCGGCCATCATTTTTGCGGGTCCAGGTCCGTCGGTTTCGGTCTTAGGCCGCTTTCACTAAAAGGGTGGTCGACTAAAGAGAGGTTTGTCCACCGCCGAACTATATGTTCGGGTCGGACGTGGGTCCACAGCAGAGGCACATCGTGCTCGTATGTCCTTCTGCGTCCCATGAACCAGCGTACACATTGTTCCTTGCTAATGATTCGAAGGTTCTTTGCTTTTGGGGGGGCCAAGATCCTTTCCGTTTCTAATTGTTCTATCTTGGGCCTCTTCCTGGCCACTAGGGGGCCAGGAACAATTAGAAACGAGCACAAGTAGAAATGAGCACGATTAGAAACGAACGACGTGTAGCGCTTGCCTTCCCAAAGTGCGTTGTCAGCGCTGCCGCAGTTTGTCCGGCACCACAGTCTGTAGTGCCAGGCCCACACGGCGGGGGGGAGCGTTGCGTTGAGGGCCCCCCCGCATCCCCCCTCCCCCCATACCCTGAGATCCGACGCAGCGAAAATCTTGCAACATCGTAGAAATCACAACGGAACATCTTGAACCTCGGACCCCAGCTTTATGCGTCATTGTTTGAGCCGTCCGGATCGATCTATGAGGGTCCCAGGGCCCGACACTTGGCAAAAACGCCGAGTGTGAAAAATTGCAAAGCCAGAGTCTCAGGGTAACGCCCGCTACCGCCGCGAATCAAATAATGCTCTCCTCTTGTCAGATCCTAGAAGCCCTGAACCAAAACATGTTGACAGGCCCGCGTTTATTCAAGTGGCTTACGCCATTCCGCCGACCCCTAGAGGAGAAACGAAGTCCACTGGTGGAACAAGAACAGCGATCCTCCTGCACCTCCTCCTCCTCTTTCTCCTCCCTCCCCCTCCTCCTCCTCCTCCTCCTCCTCCTCCTCCTTCGTCCTACTCCATCCTCACTATTCAACCCTTCTCCTCGTCTTCCCTCCTTCCTCCTCTTCCTACGTCCTCCTCCCTTCTCCTCCTCTTCCTCCTCCCTTTTCCTCCTCTCCTCCTCCTCCTCCTCCCTCCTCCTCCTCCTCCTCTCCTCCTCCCTCCTCCTCCTCCTCCCTCCTCCTCCCTCCTCCTCCCCCCCTCCTCCTCCTCCTCCTCCTCCTCCTCCTCCTCCTCCTCCTCCAACGTGTCGTCCTCTTTTGCACGTGTACCAGCTGGGAGGTTCGGACGCCGCCGGCCCGGCTCGAGCGGCCCGGCGGCCGTTGTGCGGTTCCCCGCCGCCACCGGCCGCTGTGCCTCCCGGCCAGGCGCTGGCCCTGTCCGGGGGGCGGGCGGCCCCGGCTCCAGGCCTGGGAGGGGGGAGGAGAGAGGAGGAGGAGGGGAGGGGGAGGGGGATGGGGAGGGAAAGGGAGGAGGAGGAGGAGGAGGAGGAGGAGGAGGAGAGGAGGAGAAGGAGGCGGAGGAGGAGGAGGAGGAGGAGGTGGAGGAGGAGGAGGAGGAGGTGGAGGAGGAGGAGGAGCAAGAGAAGGAGGAGGGGCAGAGGAGGGAGGAGGTGAGAATGTGGAAGAAAGGGAGGAGGAGGAGGAGGAGGAGGAGGAGGAGGAGGAGGAGGAGGAGGAGGAGGAGGAGGAGCAGGATGAAGAGCAGGAGGAGGAGGAGGAGGAGCAGGAGGAGGAGGAGGAGCAGGAGGAGCAGGAGGAGCAGGAGGAGCAGGAGGAACAATGATAGACTGGAGGGAGAGGATCGGGGCGGACGACATCTGATAGGGGTCCAAGGCTTTCTGGCGCTTTCGTGGGCTCTCCGCGGCTCTCTAGCCTCGGGACGCTTCCCAGCAGCTGTGCCTCGCTGAGAGCGTTCCGGGGGGGGGGGGAGCTCAGACCGTCCCGAATTGCAGCGTGAGGCCCGAGTGATGCGATGCCTGGATTCTTTCAGTGCGCGGTTCCTGGAAGTCCCGACCCCGTCCCCATGGCCAGATCCTCATCTGGAGCCGGTTTTTTCGCGGTTCCTGGAAGTCCCGACCCCGTCCCCATGGCCAGATCCTCATCTGGAGCCGGTTTTTGTTGGCGGCCCCGGGGCACGGCGAGGGCCCCGAGTCCGAAAACGGTGGAAAGCATGTATTCCACTGTCCGATATTTGGGATCCCTGAGATCCGACGTTGCCAACAAAAGAAACAACGTCGCAAATAATCACGACCAGAGCCTCGGACCCTCTCTTTCCGCGTCATCCTTCGAGCGGATCGATATGTGAGGACCCCGCGGCCCGAATGAGAGCAAAAACGCCCAGCTCGAAGTAATCGAGACGCCAGGATCTCAGGGTATCCAGTTGTCATATATTTTTGGGACGTCTGCTGATTTCTTCTCAAGATCCTCCCAGCGAGGCCATGCTCGCGGCCACTGCAGGGCCGTTTTCTGACGGCCCCGAGGCCCGGCAAGGGGGCCCTCGGAGGCCGAAGCGAGCGAAACGCCTCCCGTCGCGCCTCTTGCGCAGCGCGAGGGGGTCTGGGCCTGCCGCGTCTTCCCCAGGGCCGCCCCGCGAGGCCATGCTTGCCGCCGCT